CATCACCATGCACACGTCATCACCAAGCAACCATCACCACGCAAACCTCGTTACCAAGCAACCATCATCATGCAAACCTCATCACCAAGCAACCATCACCATGAACAAGATCACTACACATACCATCCAAAACCCTTGCCAATAAAAGTTTCTTCCAAGACCTAATAACACAAAACCCCGAAAAAACCGACACAAAACCCGCCCGGAAAGTGAACCCGCAGGGCCTTTAAGGGATCTCTAGGGTTCTATAATAGGGTCGCCCGTCAAAGGCACTAGAGGCTTCTATAATCGGGGGATTCATGTCTTCTAGAGTCTTGGGATTTCGAACCTTTTTGGGAGGGCTTTGAGGAGTTCAAGGATACCGCTCAGGCACTGGGTTTAGGGTTTAGGGGTTTAGGGGTTAGGGTTTAGGGTTTAGGGTTTAGGGGTTTAGGGGTTTAGGGTTTAGGGGTTTAGGGTTTGGGGTTTTAATGCCTAGGGTTGTTACCCAACTTCCAAGCTCCTCGTGCCAGAGCTGCTCCTGGCTTTTGAGGTCCTTCGCGGCAGGGGAGAAAGCTCACGAGCTCCCCGCAGCCCTCATCGTGCGTCTGCAAGATCTAGGTTGCAGGATCGATACCCATAGGCCCCATAGTAGTTCCTTTTGGGGATTCCCTACTAGAACCCTAAATAAATATAAGCCACAAAAAGGAACTACTATGGGGCCTATGGGTTCGGATGAGAAGGGGCCTCCTGCAAAGCAGCGATTTCCTTGCAGGCCTCCGTGTCAGGCTCCACTGAGTCCACATATTCCATGCTGGGTGAAGTCGAAGCATGAAGCAGTCGCCTCGTTTCGTTCGCGGATCAGCTCTTCCGACCACACCGTGTAATCCTCACAGTGCTGCTTTTGCATGGCGTCGATTTGCTCCTTCCAGCTTGGCCGAGAAGTGCAACTCGGAAACCATCACATGCCGGCCTTGTAGGCAATCTGCTGCTCAACAACCTCCGCTGCCAACTCTCTCACCTGAAATGCGGCAATGACTACACAGTGTCTTCAAGGCTTGTGCGCAGCTGAAGCGTTTTGAAAGCCTGCTGTTCCATCTGCTGCAAGATTTCGGAGTGCCGGTCTTCTTGCGAAGCGGCGATCACTGCCTTTGGACCACAGGTCTCAGCTATGAACTGGTTGCTGCATCATGGGCCTCTTCTTCCAGCCATTGCTCCAGTAGCCTTTCCCAGGTAAGGCGTTGAAGCAGGGAAATCGAGTTGACTTGCACAGTTGCATGTGAGGGCCTACAGCGCAGGTTCAGAAGTTCCAGAAGTACCTGGCGATCCGGCGGTCCGGTGCACTCTGGACTGGATGATGACCGCGGGGATAGACTGGAGCAAGGTCACTCTGTAATGATTCAAGCGGACATCGCTCACGTTTGAGCCGGTTGCCTCGAGCCAGAGGCATTGCTCAAGGAGACCGAACTGGGCTTGTTGGCACCTCATGCGGGTGCTTGGCAATTACCTGCTGCAGCTCGTACTCGCTCTGCCTGGCGACATCGCAGATTACAAGGGAAAGCTAGAGCTGAGCCGATGCTCAGTGCAGTCGTCGGAGTTCTTGAGACGTTGTCTCCACTGAACATATAATGATAAGACAGTCATAAAGATTATAGTACAATATACCCCCGAAGCCCTATTCTAATTTTTAAGGCCCCTATAGTAGGGGCTTAGGGGCTAAAATACAATTATCGCCAGAGGTTTATGGGAGCAGCCTGGGAGTGTTGCTTTACAGGAGCGATAATATGCCCACATGGGGGTCTCTTCCAACTGCGAGCCCCTATGCATGGCAACATTGTACCATATTATACTCTGGTAATAAGTGCATTATATGACTGTCCTATCGTTCTGTTCTGGCAATAATTGTATTCCAGCCCCTAAACCCCTACTATAGGGGCCTTAACAATTAGAATAGCGTTTGGGGGGCGTATTGTACTATAAATATATGACTGTCTTATCATTTTTGGCCCTAAACCCCTAAGCCCGAAACCCTCAACCCCTAAACCCGTAAACCCCTAAACCCTGAACTCCTAAACCCTAATTTGCGGGGCCGCCTTAGGGCAGACATGGCCCAGTCACGCTCTCGCTCAGCTGACGCAAGCCGCTCCTGGCAGCGAGTTTAGGGTTTTAGGGTTTAGGGTTTAGGGGCTTAGGGGTTTAGGGGTTTAGGTGTTTAGGGGTAGGGGTTTAGGGGTTTAGGGGTTTAGGTGTTTAGGGGTTTAGGGTTTAGGGTCCAGGGGTAGG